GAAATGTCGAAAAAATAAACTGTCTGGAGGGTTGTTGAATCTACATCTTGAATTAAAATAACCTACAATAATATATATTTGAATTATCTCTATATTGAAAAATAGAGCTTGGTTTCAATTCATATTTCAACAATAATAATTATTCTCAATAATAATCTTCAACTTCGGCTTTGATCGCCCCAAGCCCGGGTGAAAAAAGAGTAGGAAGAGCGGCTCCTGATCCAGGGATAGAAGATGACCAACGTCTGTACTCCATTGTTAGGAGAAGTGGCACATAGCGTCTGTTCCTCATGTCAGAGGAGGCCATATCATATCGGAGCTAAATTGGCCTGCTACTGAGTAGTGCACCCAGTCTTAATGACAAAGGCAGATGCATTCTACGTTACCCAGGCATGATGGTTAATGAACATTTACCTCGATACAATTAACTAGAGATAAGAAAGATGAAGAGGAGAATTCGCACTTCGAGATGAAACCTAAATAAATGGGTGATACATCAACAAAATTCAATTATAAGTTCTCTATATATGATATCAATGTTCCATGACATTTCCGTCGTTTTTTAATATTTAATGTGATAGAACCTTACGGAAAAAGTCCGAAAATTATTATATATCAATATATTTATTTGAACAGATGAAAAATCACCACAATGTCAGGTCTTGAAAAAATACTTTTCATAGTTCTAAATCCTGGAGATAGGGGACATATACAATAATATACCCGATATTTTAGTTTTGAAAATTATATTGAAAATATTAATTTCTACTGGGTCATAATTATCGAATAAATTATAAGGATTAATTCTATAGTTTGGATTTTTAGAAAACATGGAAAATGATTCCGTCCATACCCAACTCACTCTTTTGGCAAAGTTTGATCTTGAAATAGATCGAATATATATATATGTGACAATATAATAATAGGTGGAAAGAGAAATAAGGACACCAAAATTTGGATGAGGAACCCAGGCAACAAGAGAGAGAGAATGGGATAGACGGGCCCGGCACCGCCAGGCGGCCGCCCGTGTCGAACACAAACACCCACTGCCCTAATAGTCCTGAGGTTCCAAGTAACGGGCCCCTTGGAATGTCGCTGATATCTCAAGTGACCGGACTTTACATCCTGTCTTAATAGTCCCGAGAACTCACGGGCCCCTCTGGTCGCCCTTGGAATGTCGCTGATGTCTTAAATGACCGGACTTTAGCTGCCCATCTCTCTCTGGGTTGACTGTAAAGGCTTGCTTTATTATTCCTGGAAGAGTATATATTATGACATATGGCCCCCGTTGAAGAAGGCTGAACATGGTTTGAGTATACTTAAAACTGGAGAAGCCAGGAATAAAGAAAATAATTTTATAGTTGAAATTATTTAAGGTTATGGTGACATAGTTTTATGTAAATAAAATATTGTATAGTACACAAGTAAATATTATTTACAAGCAGTTTTACAACACCGGAGAGTTTGACACTTAAGGGAATTCTTGATAATATCAAAGTTATAAAAGGCTATATACAATAACATCTAATATATTATAAGGTAAATGCTATTGAGGAGTGTGAACAAGGAGAAGGGGAGTCACAAACACATGATGAAAATATTGTAACATAGTATGTATTAATTTGGCTTATCTTTTGTTTACCTTTCTTAGTTCGTCCTTCCCTGAAATAAATTTTGTTTCCTCCTGAAGTTTTTGTCTTCCCTAATTTTCCACGTGGCAATATTAAGGCCATTAAGACTGGGGAACTCTACACTTTAAGATATGTTTTCAGGCGGACATGGCAAGGGGAAGACTTGGCATGGCTTTTCTATGCTATAGGTGTAGTAGTAGTACGAGAAATGAGGTTGAGGGTGGAAATTGCGTGAGTTCAGAACTGAGGTAAACATAAGACTACATACAATGTTAGAATTCTGGTGAACAGAGCGAGAAGAAACTTGCTTTGGGCCATTCTACTTTATCTATGCAGTTACTTGTGTAGCGAGTCCAAGGGGGAAGTCCCGTGTGTAGGTGAGGAAGTCGCATAGACTTATAGTTAATTTGAGAAGATAAAATATTTCGAGATACCAACGTAGATAAAAGGCGAAGAGAGCGAGGGGCAACTTGCTTTGGTTCTTTCTATCTTAATTATTTCGATACTATGAGACTTTAGTAGTTTTAACTAATTGACGGAAGGTGTACGCGCACAGTGCCAAAAATTGGGTCGAGGACGGCGTTGTCCTTTACAATTTACAAGCTTCTCGTACACGAGGTGTTTGAACCGTCGTGGGAGCTTGTGCGAGGAGTTGATTTCGCGACGGGTTGAACGTAAAACCCATGTCTGCGCGAAATGATGACGGACCGGACAGAATCAGCGACGATGTTTAACGTACCTCCGTTGGAAATATCGGAGGTAGGTTATATCGTGCTGGTATGGACAAGGGACAAACATAAATTTGAAGATAGGGTCCGTGTGGCGAATGTGTGGCGCGAGAAGAAGGAGCGAACTGTGTCTCTCGATGCAGATTGTTCAAGTGCAGCAAAAAGAAGTTGATAAACATTTAGCAGTTAGTCAATCTGCATCCTGTGGCGAACACACCAGTGGCTAGATGGTGTGGGTCGGTGGATATGCTAGAGAGAAAATCTACAAAATATATTATCGTAAATGAAGAGTGGAGATTAGTGGCAATAGTAGTTCGATAATTGAATAATTAATAATTTTATAGAAGGTCATGGGCTGGTAGAAGGTTAACAAAGTTGTAAGAATGGTAGGGGTAAAACAATTTCACTTACAGGTTATGTTGGTTTAGAGAGAAAGTAGCTTCATTGAGTTCATTGAGGGAGGGTTCTGTCTGCTGTACGTGCCAGTGTTGTCCGACACAATAGTGGCAGGGATATGGCGGAGTCCATGGTGGTGGAAGGTGTCCTGCCCTGGCGCGGCGATCGTTCTTGAGCAGATCTAGTGCTGGGAGATGTGTGCGGCAGGTTCATCTCCGTCGTAGGTGATAACTTTTTCCGAATCACGGTTCAAAAGTTGGCGAAGAAGGGGGTGAGAGCTCGAAGAGAAGTGGCTACAGTTGAGTTGGGTTTTGTCCGATCACCATCGCTTTGCTTCTTTTTTTCCCCATATTCTAGTAGATATGGAAATTTGTTTTTCGGCCAAGTCTTATCCTGTCGACTTTTAATGTGAAAATATAATAATAGGTGGGAAGAGAAATAAGGACACCACAATTTGGAAGAGGAACCCAGACAACCAGAGAGAGAGAGGGAGAGCGGGATAGACGGGCCCGGCACCGCCAGGCGGCCGCCCGTGTCGAACACAAACACCCACTGCCCTAATAGTCCTGAGGTTCCAAGTAACGGGCCTCTTGGAATGTCGCTGATATCTCAAGTGACCGGACTTTACATCCTGTCTTAATAGTCCCGAGAACTCACGGGCCCCTCTGGTCGCCCCTTGAAATGTCGCTGATGTCTTAAATGACCGGACTTTAGCTGCCCATCTCTCTCTGGGTTGACTGTAAGGCTTGCTTTATTATTCCTGGAAGAGCATATATTATGACATATGTATGGTAATTTAAACCAACAACCCCATATTGTATATAACTTATAACAAGATTTTCATGTCGTATAATAGAAACACATCTGTAAATGATTATACGCATGATTGACATGTGTCATTACATCATCATATGTAATGTACTTTGTACAAACTGAGGATAAATAAATAAAACACCCTAATAGATTAAGAGTTGAGCTATATATAGAAGTCAAAAGCGTGTCTAGATTCGAAATAGATGGAAGTCGCAAAACAACATCTAAAGATAGATTGGAAACTGTCAGGACGGCGCCAGTTTAGAATTTCGCCACACGATCCACGCTCTTCACATCTGGTGAAATGCAATACTCCCTTTCTCAGAAAAGGTATATAAAGCCTCCGTCGTAGCCAAAAATACAGTCACTTCACCATCTACGTGAGCCCTCGTCGGTGTTACTCAGGTCCACCTCATCCACCGTGTAGACCAGTAAGAACTCTTCTATCTCCATCTTTCGCTCCAAGCTCAACTTTTATCTGTTCACGGAACTTTCTTAGTGCAACTGTGTCTTAGTTTTTGTGTGGACATTCCCAAGCTTTCCACTCTGCCTCGATCATGACTGCCTGTACTCTGTGAGAACTGTTAAAGGTCTTACAAGGTGCAAGAGAGGTACTGGAAAACTCCCCATCCTGACTGTTCCTCTCGGTCAACACAGTATAGCGAGAGTTACAGGATCGCACACCATAGATTAAGTCGACTGGATACCTCATCACATATTTAGTCGACAGGATTCTACAAGAGGATACCTCACCTTCATCACACATATATATATATAATTAAAAAGGCATATATCGGATTAAAAATCATTTATTTTACCTATAAATAATTATATATATGAAAAATCAATAGAAAAAATAAGGAGATGCCTTCTTTATTTTTAATTATATATATATATATAAATATATATAATATATAGAAGATATATAAGATATATATATCGAAGACAACACATCAATATCTAAACGGTATGTCATTATTATATCTTAAATCAAACTTTTATTTCATTTAATTTTAAAAAAGTTTTATATTTATATGAAGAAAGGCTTAGAAAAGAGGGGGGGGGGGATTTATACAACCATGATAAGTTTGAAAATGGAAATTATTGCCCTTGAAAACTTCCAATTATTTCTATAAAGAATTTCTAAGTATAAATATCCTCTAATTGAAGTATCTTATCATTAAAATTTACAGTAAATATCTTTAGATAAAATCACTATCAGCTTTGAATCAATTTTCATTTAATTATTAAACATATTATAAAGGACTGCGGCGTATGATTATAAAAGACTTAAAGTTTCACCGCATAAGTTTCTTTTCTGTGAAAAATCAATATTTATTTCGAAGAGAAATATTTATTATTTCTAACTTTTTTGGATGAAGTATGAAAGGGTGAAAATATGAAGAGTAATGGCGAACGGAAAAATAAAAATGTCCAGGGGCGGGAATCGAACCCACAACCTTCCGCTTACCGAGCAGATGCCATGTCCACTAGGCTACCCTGGACGTATCCTTCCGTTCGTAAATGAGTTACTTTAAGTATTATTTACGAACGGAAGGATACGTCCAGGGTAGCATAGTGGACATGGCATCTGCCCGGTAAGCGGAAGGTTGTGGGTTTGATTCCCGTCCCTGGACACTTTTATTTTTTCCGTTCGCCATTACTCTTCATATTTTCACCCTTTCATACTTCATCCAAAAAAGTTAGAAATAGTAAATATTTCTCTTTGAAATAAATATTGATTTTTCACAGAAAATAAACTTATGCGGTGAAACTTTAAGTCTTTTATAATGATACGCCGCAGTCCTTTATAATGTATTATAAGTTACTTTAAGTATTATTTACGAACGGAAGGATACGTCCAGGGTAGCCTAGTGGACATGGCATCTGCCCGGTAAGCGGAAGGTTGTGGGTTCGATTCCCGCCCCTGGACACTTTTATTTTTCCGTTTGCCATTACTCTTCATATTTTCACCCTTTCATACTTCATCCAAAAAAGTTAGAAATAGTAAATATTTCTCTTTGAAATAAATATTGATTTTTCACAGAAAAGAAACTTATGCGGTGAAACTTTAAGTCTTTTATTAAACATATATTAACATTAAATTGTTGATCAAACTTAAAGTCTTAATAGTTAAATAAATGTTACTTTCATTCATCAATAAATTAATTTTTAATTGGTAGTACTAAATTCCTTGTTAATTGATTGAAATAATTTTTTTCTGGTATAATGATTATACAATCACACACACAAACAACACATCAAACAACTAAAAAATAAATTTGACTTTTATTTTAGAGTATATGGAAAAACATTGGCATAGACAATGATCACGAGACTAAAACATAAGTATTTTATCTATAATATCTATCAGCACAATGTACTTTAACACGATACAATTACTTTGACTAAATTTGAATCACCACCTTGAATAGAATACTACTAACATCTTTTTTAATTCAGTATTATAGTTAGTGAATTTTATTGTTTATTGTTTTATTTTTCTTACTAAAAAAATAAGAAAATTGAATAGATATTTCCTTATTCTTTCTCACAATCTCACTTTTAGTTTTTATTCATTTCATACTTAACCATAGAGATAAGTATGTTGATATGAATGTTCTGACAATTTAATTACCATCTTTTATCAACCAATTAAAACACACTGGTCCGTAAAATTAAAGGAAAATCATATTTTCATTTATCTCAAATTTTATTGAACATTTATCAATGATATTTTATACACAAATTTATTATTCCATTATTCGATCAATAATACCCGAAATCAAAGAATTCAAACACGTATTTTATGCAAATTAGCCGGTCAAGCAATGATCTTCCTGCAGTCAGTGTATAAATATCTTAGAAATTGTTGTTAATATGGGGTGTGATCGACTTTAACTGATAGACAGGCTCTACATCGGCGACCCATACTTAGAATTAGGGAGTTTATAAGATTCTGTGGAATCAACGCCCACCCTTTTTTTTAAAGTGTGTTTCTAGCTCATGAGTGTTTCTAGGAGGGGTTGGAGGGATGTGATCCGTCGTCCTAGATTGTTCTATATATGCTCAATGGGATTTAGGTCTGGAGATCGAGCTGACCAATTCATCCGAGCAATTGCATGGTTTTGGAGAAAAGTGTCGACCACATCAGCCCTATTTGGGGCACGAGGTGTTTGAACCGTCGTGGGAGCTTGAGCGAGGCGATGATTTCGCGGTGGGTTGAACGTAAAACCCATGTCTGCGCAAAATGATGACGGAACGGACAGAATCAGCGACGATGTTTAACGTACCTCCGTGGGAAATATCGGAGGTAGGTTAAATCGTGCTGGTTTGGACAAGGGACAAACATAGATTTGAAGACAGGGTCCGCGTGGCGAACGTGTGGCGCGAGAAAAAGGAGCGAACTGTGCCGCTCGATGCAGATTGTTCAAGTGAGAACAAAAGGGAGTTGATAAACATCTAGCAGTTAGTCAATCTGCATTCTGTGACGAACACACCAGTGGCTAGATGGTGTGGGTCGATGGATATGCTAGAGGGAACTACAAAATATATTATCGTAAATGAAGAATGGAGATTAGTGGCAAAGGTAGTTCGATAAATGATTAATCAATAATTTCATAGAGGGTCATCGGCTGGTAAAAAGTTAACAAAGTTGTAAGAATGAGAGGGACATTAAGGGGAAGATAGATAAGAGTCACCAAGGGTTGGTTGTAAGCAAGGCTCACGTGGTGGTTGGAATCCTTCGGCGCCTGAATTACAGAGTGAATTTCGAGTCGTTTAGGGAAAGAAATTATATTTCGTGAGCCGTGCTTACAAGTAGGAGAGAAGGTCATATACAAAAGGGTAAAGATGTTTAGGTACTAGAGCCCTATTGTGATTGAGCACTATTATGAAATTGATTGTTGTTATCTTTAAAAACGTAAAGCATGCATAGATAGAATGCCAATTTTAAGGAATGACTTTAAAAAAATATATTTCATTAAAAGGTCTATTATTAATTCGATTGGTAAGGTATAAATTTAATAGGTTACAATATCTAGATAAATAGTATTGAGAATAAAATCATTGTTAATAGGCGTGGAGAGAATAAATTAAACTAAACTAATTATAGAAAATATTGGCATCAGAGTTTACAAGGAATTACCTTTTTGGAGAATGAATGGTAGGGGTGGAAACAATTACACTCACAGATTATGCTGGTTGAGGGCGTAAGTAGGTTCATTAAGTTCATTGAGGGAGGGTTCTTTCTGCTGATATTGTACGGGACAGTGTTGTCCGCCACAGTAGTGTCAGGAATATGACGGAGTCTTGTCCATGATGATGGAAGGTGTCCTGCTCTGGCGCGGCGATCGTCTTGGGCAGGTCTAGTGCTGGAAGAAGTGGGCGGCAGCTTCATCTCCGTCGTAGGCGATCACTTCTTCAGGGTAACGGTTCAAAAGTTGGCGAGGAAGGGGTTGAGGGCTCAAAGAGGAGTGGTTACCGTTGAGTTGGGTTTGGCCGATAATCGTGGCTTGGCTTCTTGTTTCTTCATACTCTGGTATATGAGGGATTTGCTTCCCGGCCAGGTCTTATCCTGTCGACTTTCAATGTGATAAGATCCTGTCGACTCTTCTGTGACAAGATCCTGTCGACTTTCAATGTGGCAATATAATAATAATGTGGAAAAAGAGAAATAATCACACCAAAAATTGGAAGAGAAAGGACCCAGGCAACCAGAGAGAGATCGAGATGGCGGACCTGGCTGTCGCCGGGCGTCCGCTCGCGTCGAACACAATCACCCAACTGTCGCCCTAATTAGTCCCGAGGTTCCAAGAAAAGGGCCCCTTGGAATGTGGCTAGTGGCTCAAATGGCCGTACTTTAGCTGCCTTCTCTCTACGTCTCTCTCTGGGTTGACTGTAGGTTTTCTTTATTTAATCCTGGAAGAGCATATATTATGACATATATATATATTTTTGGATGGCGGTGTTTTGAGAATTAAATTTTGAATTTGTGAGTGGTTTTTGTAAAAAAATCGAGATGTGAACTTCTTGTGAAACTTAAGATTTCCAAGCTCTGGGGATGGTATGTACGACATTCGGTGACAGCCAAGATGGCGAACGTTTTGTAAGTCGGGAGGCCAAGAGGTGACTCAATCGAGAGGCGTCATCTCTGGCCGGAAGCGAAAGGGCCCATGCGTGGGGAACTTTCTAATTCGGTCCCAACTCCCCGCCTCGGCTATGGGGCGATCTAAATGTCCGCTGGAAGTTTTCTCCCAGGATGTCCAGGACGAGAGTTACAAACTATGGAAGGCACTCCCTATATGGAAGATGGCTTCCGGTAATTGGTAAAGAACTCGGTAAACTGGCGAATCCTATATGGGACGAGAGGTCCTCAATAAAGGCTTTTTGTTGTTGTTGTAATTGGTAAAGCCTTTGGGGCTGTTGGGCATATAGTCCAAGGTAGATTACTATGGTAAATGGGGCGAGGGAGTATGGCATAGTGGGTTGTGTTGCAATTCGATTTGTTGTGGCGGATTATGTGGAGGATTTGTTACGATTGGATCTGTGGGAGGCATGGAATTCTAGGCGGAGTCAGAAAACAAATTATTTATTGTAAAATAAACTTTTATTTACATTTATTTAATACAAATTATCAGAAGGGGTTAAATTGTTGTATACTACATGTCAAGGTTCTTTTTATGTCTGTGTGTGGTCAAATATCATCTCTAGATTATAAAATGTTAGATATATGTGTTTTATATATTATAGATGACTGTGGTATTCAGGGTAGTCACAGCTGCACTGGAGAAATAAATTGTTATAATTGTTCTAAACGCCCAAAATTAAAAAACCATTCATTAAATCATTATATAAGATACAACTGGACAGAGTCATACAAAGAACGCAATATACGCCTATTATCGAGGAATCGGTTTTGTCAAATATATAATTTAAATATATATGTCTTACCTATGTAAACAACAATGAATGAAAACTTAAAATGTATTCAACTAAAAGTTAGAAAGAGTTTTATGGCAATAAATGAATTACAAGGTTATATTACAGATAACCCAACCGATATTCTACTGATTCAAGAACCTTATGTTTCAGACAACAAGATCATGTACGATATGGATTCTCAGATAGTGTGTTCAAATAGAATAGAAGAAAAATACACGGCAATTATTGTATTAAACAAAAAGCTAAAATGCTCCATGGTAGAAAATTTCAGTAATTATTTTTGTACAACAATGTATTTATCTATTTTTAAAGAAAACATAATTATCTCAAATTTCTCTGTATTCATCCTAATTCACTAAACAATTATCATCTGAATTTTATGAGCAGATTACTTGAAACCTATAAAAACCAACCAGTAGTACTCTGTGGCGACTTTAATTCTCGTCACCCATTATGGTTCGACAAAGTAACTACCTCTAATGGATTTAAATTAAAACAATTATAGATAAAAACGATCTCTATGTACATAACCTGAAAACGCCTACCTGTTGCGAAACTAGTA